GGTGTGAGAAATAAGATATTAATAAAAACTTATTTTAAAAAAAACTTGGTAGAAACCTAATGTGGTTAATATATTGAACTGATATTTCCTGTGTGGCACTGAGCCAATCACTTAATGACTTTGTTCCTTACTTTGCACTTTTCTAAAGGCTATCATTTTTGTTCATTCCTCAAAGGAATATTGGAAAGAAAAAAGAAGACAGCTTTTGTAAAGCTTCTGAGATGTTTAGATAAAATACATTATATAGTTTTATACAGGAAAACTCAATTTTGATAATTATAAAATATAAATATAACATGGAAGTATCTCAGATTTTTAATATATAGCATTGATAAAATAAAAATATGTGAGTAGTTTTTCTATACTTTATAATTTATAGACATATGCTTTTATTTGTTTCTGTTATTCAGTGTTAACCTCCCAGTTGAAGAAGTTTAAGCAAAGCATTTTAATGCTGAATGTGACTTTTATTTTTATCATTACTATATATTTATGATATATCTAGGTTGCATGACTTTCCTGTAGTTGAAGAAAAAAAGACTCACTTCTAAAAGAAGGCCTTTTTTTAATCATAATTGTATTTAGTGCTATCAAAGGAAGTATAGAAAATTATTGATAGACTAAATTGTTTCCAACTGTACTACTTCATATTTTTATTGTAATTTAGGTCATTTGTTTAAATTACATATGTCTGTATCATTTTGAGACACCTTCCTTCCCCTGCATAAACACATACTCTATTGCAGCTATACCATTTCCATTGTGTATATACAGTGATATCACATAGAACTTTATTGTAGCAGTGATTTTTTTAAAAGGAGGTAAGGGGGTTAAGCTAGATATATTCCAATAAAATTATTTTGCTGGCTTCACAAAAGAGTATTAGGTCTGAAATGATAATTTTCTTATATTTTTCATTTTGACTTTATGAAAAAGAAAAGATTACTGTCCTGGGGCAAGGACTAAATTTTTTTTTCTAATAGAAAATAATTAAGCCTCATGCCTGCATTAATATAGGCTGTTATCACATTGGTTTATTTCCATTTTCTTTTCTCCATTATTTTTCATTTCCTTCTGTGTTTTAATGTTTAATACTGTTCCAAATAAAATGATAATAAAAAGTAGCTTTAACAGAATTGTGGAAGAAGCCCTCTTAGTGTGCTTTTGTTCTGTCATCTAGTAAGTTTATTCGCTTTAACATCAAGTATATAAACTTATATTTTATTTTAAGAAAAATAAAAACTTCTCTTTCACCTAATCCCTTCCTATTTTGTTATAGAAAATGTTGTCACTCATATTCCACTAGTAATCCATTTGTTCAGTTTTTATATATATGTATAATATATTCTATAGATATCTATAGATATGCTTCATTGTTTATATCCCATGTAATCTTCTCAGGGACTTCCCTTTGAATCGACCATTATGAAATATTCTTTCTTAAACAAATGAAAAAAGTCGTCATTATTATTTTTAATCAGAATATGCTATGATCTATTTTTTCCAACATGGGAACCACTTTAATCAAAACGCATTGGTTTGGAAGTTCTTTCTGGAGAAATTTCATTTTTTACAAAAACTTTTTCTAACATAGCTCTTTTTTCCTTTTTTTAATTATTCAGACTAAGTAAAACAGAAATGGGAAATTAGAGAATGCAGTCAAGTGTATCTAATATTTTAATAGCAGAGGGAATTATCATCTTATCTCATTTCAATGGGTTATTCCTACTGTTATCTAATCCCAGAATTTCTAAGTTGGAAGCAGCCATCTAGTCCAACTCATAACTCCAAAATGAATCTCTACTATTAGTGTAAACAAGTAGCCATCCATCTTCTCTTTAAAGCTCTCCAGTGAAGAAAAATCCCCTAATTTTTGAGGTAGCTCATTCGCCTTTTTGTAATCTCCACCCATTGTTCTGAGTTGTGATCACGTAGGTGCCAAATGGAGCAAATCTAATCTTTCTTCTGTGTGACAGCCATTCAGATATTTAAAGACAGATAACACTCTTTCTCCTCACCTACCAAGTCTTCTCTACTTTTGGCTTAAATCTCCAGTTCCTTCAACTGATCCTCATATAGTATGGACTTGAAGCCCTTTGCCATTCTGATTACCCTTCTCAGAATGCTGTGCAGCTTTATGATTTCTCTTCATCATTCTCCAAGCATATTTCTCTCCTTTAGCTTCCTTTCCTTACTGGAAACAAAATAGTAGTTAGTAGGAAATAACAATGGCAAAATGGATGAGCTGAAACAATTCTTCTGTCCTCTCTGATGGTATGGCACAGCAATATGCTGTACCTTTTTTTTTCTTTTAAAGAAGTGTGCATATCTGTTTTAAAGGCAAAGGGACTGATAAATGTGTTGCTTTCAAAGCAAAGGGCCTGATAAATGTGTCACAGTAAATAAGTCCAAAATATTTCCTAAAGATATCTTTTATCAACAGATGTCCTCTTTCTTATTCTTATGGTATCAGGATGATGACCCAGAATTCTTCAAGGCTGTGCCATTGGAGCTCAAATTCTAGAAAGTTCTGCCATGTTGGAAGAGTTTTAAGAATAGATAAAAGCAAATTGGAACCATGCCCAAAGGGCTATAAAATTGTGCATACCATAGCAATATCATTTAATTCAGCAATATCATTACTAGGTTTGTATCCCAAAGAGATTTAAAAAAAAAAAAAGGGAAAAGGACCGATTTGTACAAAAATATTCATAACAGCTCTTTTTGTGGTGGCTAATAATTGGAAATTGAGGGGATGCCCATCAATTGGGGAATGGTTGAACAAGCTGTGGTATAAATTGTGATGGAATATTATTGTGATATAAGAAATAACAAGCAAGATGATTTCAGAAAAACCTGCAAAGATTTATATGAACTGATGCAAGGTGAAGTGAGCAGAACCAGGAGAACGTTGTACACAGTAACAGCAATATTATATAGTGAAGAACTGTGAAAGACTTAGCTATTTTCATCAATACAGTGATCCAAGACAATCCCAAAGGACTCATGATGAATCATATTATTCAGCTCCAAAGAAAGAATTGATAGCGTTTGAGTACAGACTGAAGCATGCTCTTTTCACTTTCTTTTTTCATTTTTTTATTTGTCTTCTGGTACAACATGACTAATATAGAAATGTTTTACATGATTGCATATGTATAACTTATATTCAATTGCTTACCATCTCAGGGAGGAGGTAAAGGGAGAGGGGAAAAGTAGAATTTGTAACTCAAAACTTTTTTTTAAATGTTAGAAATTGTTTTTAACATGTAATTGGGGGAAAAACAAATTTTTTTTAAAAGAAGGATAGATAATAGACTATTCCTGCTATTTGAAGGTCATTCTAAATATGGAGAGACTCATTACAAGAATGTAAAACACCAGTTGATGTATTTTTTTTTTTGGCCATGGTGATCTGTAAAACAGTCAAAAATAGAAGATGATCATCTGCCCAGTGCAACCCTTTTCTGCTTCAACCATGAAAATGATTGTGATTAATAAAAAAGAACAGAAGGTGCTAAGACTGTTCTATAAATATTAATTGTTGGTAGCTTTAACATTTGTCCAATGACAAAATAATTGACATACTTGGAAGAACCTAATCATAGCCAAGATGATGTCCTTACTAGAAGTCAAACTAGGAGATTTGAAAATGTTGGAGCTATATGAAAGGAATATATGTAGCTTTCTCACTGATAGAATAAAAAAAGTGGAGAGTTTCATCATATGGTTAAAGGTAACAAGAAATATTCTTTCATGGGACATTTTATCATCATGTCTTTCAGTAATCATGATGAACTTAAGCAAACAAAAGTTTGAATATTTTTGTGTACTTAGATCTCTCTTTTTTTTTTCTTGTTAATCATCTTTACCATATAGAACTGGTAGTGAGATTACAGGATCAATGGATATGAACAAATTTGGAGCTCTTATTAATACCATTATTGATTTCAAGTAAGCTTGTACCAATTTATAGCTCAACCAGCAATACCATAAGAGTACCTCTTTATAGTTCCATCAGTATTGAATTGTATGTTTTAAATAACTGCCAAATTAATGAACATGAAGTGATCCCTTAGCTGTTCTAATTTGTGTTTCTCAGATTATTAGAGAATTTGAATACTTCCAATTTGTTTTTCATAGTTTGTATTTATTTCAGGTACTGCCTATTCATATCTCTTTGACCACTTGTCTGTTGTACTTATACAGAGAATGGATCTTCCTCTTATATGTTTCTGTCATACTTTTTTATATGTTATAGCACACTTTTATCAGAAATGTTTGTAACAAAGTTTTTTTTTTCCATTCAGGCTTTTTTTTTTTTTGCTTCTAAATTTATTGCTTTTTGTTGTACAAAACTAATTTAAATATAATGAAATCCATTTGTTTTGTCCCCCATCATTTCTTGTATTTAAATAATAGATAAAACATAAAAACTTTCTATTCATAAGGAAATTAAGTCCCCCTCTTAAGAGGTATTGAATTCCAACTTTCACTCAAAGTTATAATTGTTCAATTTGATTTATCCTATACCATACTTTATTAAGTTATTTGTCTTGTCATCAAGGAGTATAGTTTACCAATAAAAGTCACATTCCAACACTAACAACACTGAACACAGTTCCCACATTTTATACTCCTCTCATTAAATGCAAAAATTTTACTCTACTATCCCCCCTGTTTTACTCTGGAATGCCCTTTCTCTCTGTTCTGTTCTCTTTTTGCCCTATTCCTTTTTTTAGTCATATTTTTTTTTACATTGATAATTATTGTATTCCTGTTTCCTCCTCTTTTCCCCACTCCCAGTGATCTTACATAAAATTACTTACAAGAAAGAATAGTCCAAATAATGTAAGTATTATAATTAATGAAACATTGTTATTTCCTTTTGAGTTAGAACTTTAACCCTGTCAGATTTGTTTGATGTAGTGCGAAAATTCTATTTCATCTCCTTTTAGACTAGTAGAACTTAGAATGTTGTCTCTCATTTTCTCTTTTAGAATCTGAACTTTACAGGGTTTCGTAAAATCCTCAAAAAGCATGACAAGATCCTGGAGACATCTCGTGGAGCAGATTGGCGAGTGGCCCATGTGGAAGTGGCACCATTTTACACATGCAAGAAAATCAACCAGCTCATCTCTGAGACAGAGGTGCAATGATTCTCCCTCTTCTGCTCCAGATATTCTTAGTCCTGTCTATTGTCTTCTGTCTGGCTTCCTTCTGATTTTGGGCCATGTTCCATAACTCTTTGGGTCTCAGTTTTCTTGCCTATAAAATGAGGGAGTTGAAACTGCATAACTTTTAAGGTTCCATCCAGGTCAGGCATGCTGGGATCATCTTTGCTGTTTGTAATTAGAAATTTGATGATTTCTAACTTTGATTACATGTGTTTACCTCATGAATTTTTTATTTCTTTTGCTTTACCAGTTAACGTCTACTCATAAAATGTCACAAATTAGCACAAAAGTTAGGTCTTGCTTTATAACTTAGACATTTTTCATATGAGTATGGTGAACTTTATGTTAAACTTAAGCTTTTTTTCTAGGCTGTGGTGACCAATGAACTTGAAGCTGGAGATAGACAGAAGGCCATGAAGCGTTTACGGGTTCCTCCTTTGGGAGCAGCTCAGGTTAGGATTTATTGCCAACATTTTTTGTCTCTTAACTTGTGTACTTAATTTCTAAACTGTTTATTTGTGGAATATATTTACTACATAACTTTTTTGTATTCTCTTTAAGCTCAGGATTTCAAAGGCCTAGGATTACAAGCAGTTAATCATGATTGAAAAGACATTTATTAAGGGGTATCTATGAGTGGTGCCATGCTACAGGCAATACAAAATTAATTGAACTGCTATAGTTACTTCCTTTGGGGGGTGTTTAGTTAAAAAATTACAACACGAAAGCGTATTGATGGTAGGGATAATGACAGTAAATACCAGTTGTTTTGATTGTTGGGTTTTAAAAGAATTTTGACGGTGTTAATGCCTCCAACTAGGAAAGGGGAAAAAAGATATAAGAATCCAAGCAAATATTTGTATTTACAATCACTATAAATTATTGTGTCTTTTAGGCAGCTGGGTCGCACAGTAGATAGAGTGCCCAACCTGGAGTCAGGAAGACCTGAGTTCAAAGATGTCCATAGACATTTAACTTTGTGATCGTGGGCAAATCACTTTTTTTTTTTTAGGCAATTGGAGTTAAGTGACTTGCCCAGGGTCACACAGCTAGTTAAGTATCAAAGGTTTGGTCTGAGGCTGGATTTGAACTCAGGTCCTCCTGACTTCAGGGCCAGTGCTCTTTCCACTGCCTCTATCCACTGCTCCACCTAGCTGCCCCGGCAAATCACTTAAAAAAAATATCTCTGCCTAAATTTCCTGATCTGCAAACTGAGAATAATAATAACACCAACCTCCTAGGGTTGTTGAGAAGATTAAATGCGATATTTTCAAGGCTATTAGCCCACTACCTGGCACATTGCTGGCTTAATAAATGTTTTTTCCCTTCCCTTTCTCCTACCCCATCCCCACTTACGAGATTCTTGGAGAACTTGTTATGTGAATTTTCCAGGTCTCAGTCCATCACAAATACTTTAGTGTGAATTATATTATAGCATATTCCACTCTCATAGCCTTTAGCTAGTTCAGGCTGTCATCACCTTTTACCTTAATTATTGTTATTATCTAATTGTTATTCCTTCCAGTTTTTGCCTAATTCATTCTCCAAACAGTTGCCAAATTGATAATCCTAAAATACAAATCTGATCACATTGTTTCCCTACTAAAATTTTTTCATTTGCTCCCAATCGCTTTTAGGATAAAATAGGAAATCCTCAACCTGACATATAAAACCTTCAATAGGATGGCTCCAGCCTACTTTTCCAGATTTATTTTATGTAATTTCTTTCTTGTATTCTCAGTTCCAGTAAAACCGGGCTGCTAGCTATTTCTTAGTGTACAGTCTTTCACCCACTACTACTTTTGTCTTTGCACAACTTCCATGTTTCAAGTATGCTGTCTCCCACCTCCACGTTTTAGAATCTTAGAACTTCCCTCAGAGCTAAACCAAAGCTTTCTTGATTTTCACAATTATTAATATTCTTGAAATTATTTGTATTACTTGTATATAATTTGTATTACTTCTCTGAGAATGCTTTAACTCTTCCCTTACCTCCCAGCAGAATGTAAGCCCCTTGACCACAGAGACTATTTTGTTTTTGCATTTGTGTTCTGAGCAGCTACTATTTGGGGTTGAATTGAACTGAACTGAAAAATCATCTTATGATTTTAAGTATTCTCTGCTATTTAAACAAATTGTTTTTTCTCCCTATCTATCTCAAGCCTGCACCTGCATGGACTACTTTCAGAGTTGGCCTGTATTGTGGAATATTCATCGTGCTGAATGTTGCCCTTGTGCTCACAGGTAGGTATCTTCTGTCTTGAATAGAATTACTTTTGGTTGAATCTGAACCTTTGAATATGTGAGCATAGAGAGATATATATGTACACACACACACACACACACACACACACACACACACACACACATTTTGTATATGTTTATCCCTCTGTAAGACAAAATCACCAAAAAGAAACTTTGACTATTCAGTTTGTGCTTATTTTTTTTTTGGGAGGGGGGTGTTTTGTTTTGTTTTGTTTTTTGGTGAGGCAGTTAGGGTTAAGTAATTTGCCCAGGGTCACACAGCTAGTAAGTGTCAAGTGTCTGGTGTGAGATCAGATTTGAACTCAGGTCCTCCTGACTCCACTGTGCCACCTAGCTGCCCCTATAGTGCTTATTAGTTAAAGATACTTTGGTATACTTGCTTCTTTAGAAAATAACCAAATGCTTATTTTTTTTTCCTTTATAATTCCTTTATAATTCTGTACTTTCTATATATAGTAATATGGATCTTATCTAAAGTTTAGTTATTCAGCATCTTCAACTCCATAAAGTATAGTAAAGTAGTTACTTTACAACATGTTTTCCTCAGTGGTATAGTGGAAAATGTGCAGAACTTTGGAGTTAGAAGGACTCAGGCTTCGATCAGTTTACTGCTTGTGTGACCCTGGGCAAGTCACTTTCTGGCCCTCATTTTCCTCATATGTGAAAAAAAGAACTCAAACTATATATGCTCTATAGTCCCTGCCTTCTCTAAATCTATAATCCTGTTATCCTGAAATTCAAATTAAACAAACAATTATTAAGCACATGCTATGTGTAGATTGCTATGATGTATGCTAGGAGAGTTAAAAAAAAGTAGGTAAGACACCATCGTTACCCTTGTGGAATTTATAGTATAAGGAGGGAATGTGACACACACAGTCCATTATAATGCACATTGATACATAAATTCCTTGGAAATACACAAACCAAAGTGTTACATAAAGTTTCAGAAGGAAGGTTCTTAGTAATAGGAAATCAGGGAAGAAATTATGGCCTTTGAATTTGGCTTTAAAGGATGGGTAAGCATTTAAATAGCTGAAGTAGTGGAAGAAGGACATTCTTGACATAGAGTGCAGCATTAGCAGCGTTAGAGACAAAGAAGTATGTTTTGTTTAGAAGCAGAGAGTTTGGGACAAATTGGCTTAAATTTATGGCATATAGAGGGGATGATATCATATAAGGAAAGAAAAGTAAGATGTGCAAGATTGTAAAAAGCCTTGAATATCAGGCAGAAGATTATTAAACTTCAGAGGTCAGAGAGAACCACTGAAGATCTTGGAGCAGATGAGTGATATGATAGAATGGACTAGTCTAGTAGTAGTATGAAAAATGGATTGTAGAAAGGAGAAAATAGTGATGAGAAGACCTATTTAGAAGCTATTGCAGAATTTTGGGAGGGTCAGTTATGAGAGCTTGTTAGTAATAAGGGCCTCATGACAGTGACAGTTGAGATTTACTGATTAGATATGAGAAGCAAAGGGGTGTGTAAGATATCAAGATTTTGAACATGGGAGAGTAGATGAGACTGAAAATAATGAAATCAGAAGAAATAGAAATTTGTTTTGTTTTAGGATGGTAGGGGTAGAGATAGATAATAAGTTTGGTTTTAGACCTATTAAGTTTCAAGTGCAAATGGAGCACAGATAGGTAGCTGGAAATGTGGGTCTAGAGCTCAGAAGAAGGCATTACATAGAGGGTTGTGTGTGATCTTCATAATGGTTGTTGAAGCAGTGGGATTGACTGATATTTTCACAGGAGACAGTTTAGAAAAGAGAAAAAGTTGAAGGTTAGAACCTTAGGGAAATATAAATTAAGGGGTTGAGAAGGGGATAAAGTGCCAGTGAAGAAATGTTTAGAGTGGTAGGAGAAGAGAAACAGTGGAATATATTCCTCTGAATTAAAAGGAAGAGAGAGTGCTAGGGCACTAGAATACATTTTTTTTATCATAATCTGACTCAACCAACTGAAGATTTAAAAAATAAAAATATTTTGTAAAACATTTGGGAGGTAGTATGATGTAGTGGAACAAAGATAGATTTGGAGATAGAACCCAGGGTATACCCTGGTTCAGCTACTTACTAGCTTGAAAACTTGGGTTTCAGTTTCCTCATCTATAAAAATGAAAGGGCTAGAATAAAGTAGTTCAGTGCTAGGCTAAAGGGCCTTAGATAGCATCTAGTCTAATCCTTTCATTTTATAGGTGTGGAAAATGAGGCCCAGAGAGGTTGTGTACTCCTTGCAAGGTTTCACAGGTAGCAAATGGTAGAGCTGAAATGTAGTGATCACACTTGAGGTAAAAAAGGTTTCAGTGGAAATTGAAAAGAAGAAATAGCTTTTTAAAAAAATGTTATACTTTATATCATTAATCATTAAAATTAATATTCCTTTAGGTGCATTTAAGCTTGGTGATGATAAGATGATATGGCCTCTAGTAAGAATCTATCGAGGTGGCTTTCTCCTAATTGAGTTCCTTTTTCTATTGGGCATCAACACCTATGGTTGGAGGCAAGCAGGAGTGAATCATGTGCTCATATTTGAACTCAATCCCCGCAACAATTTATCTCATCAGCATCTCTTTGAGGTAATTAGAACAAAATATAGTTATACACTTTTAACACAGTTTAGATATATTAAATATTTTCTTGACTTATTTGAATCTGTTGTCAAAAATACTATTATGTTATCCTTCTGACAAAAAGCAATTTAGAGAAACATAAATAATGGGATATAATCAGTTTTGTCCTTCTTTCCTCTTCTTCACCAGATTGCTGGATTCCTTGGGATATTGTGGTGCTTGAGCCTGCTGGCATGCTTATTTGCTCCAATCAGCGCTATTCCCATACAAGTTTACCCACTTGCACTATATGGATTCATGGTTCTCTTTCTCATCAACCCCACCAAAACTTTCTACTACAAGTCCCGGTTTTGGCTGCTTAAACTCTTGGTAAGTCTGGAAAAACCAGATATAGAATTTTAAGCATGATCATGAATATAATTTGAAGCCAAAAATGTTTCCTAGGCATGACCTTATACACAATTTTATTTAGTTATCTCTTTCCATCAATCAATCAATCAATAAGTAAATGTGAGTGTGGATACACATACATATATATGTATATTTAAATAATTTTGCAATCAGAGCTTAGTCATCAATGAGTAACTGTTGCTGAAGTCATAATGATGATAACTTTTGAGAAACGTGACAAGTCCGTATTAGAATTTGTGATAGATGAGAGGAAAGCTGAGAAATAGTTTGATATCCACCCTAGATCTTTAGAAATCAGATTTTAGAGCATTTAGAGAAATATAGATCAGAGCCCATGGACTAAAATTCTATAAGGTTTGGTAGTCCAAATGGGCATCTCTGAAGACTAAGCAGGAAATTTTGAAGATGCAAAGAAAAAAATTCTAATGTAGAGGAAAATGGAGTATTGTTCAAATATTTTCTCCCTGACATTGCCACCATTCTAATGCAGGCCCTCATCACTTCATGCCTGGACTATCACAATATCTCCTGGTGGGTCTGCTTGTCTTATGTCTCTCCCCATTTCAATCAACCCTCCATTCATCTGCCAAAGTGATTTTCCTAAACACAGGTTCAACCCTGACACCCCACTCCCCAACTCAGTAAACTACACTGACTCCCTATCACTTCTAAGATCCAATACAAAATGCTCTGTTTGGCCTTCAAAACCCTTCATAACCTTCTCTTTCCCTACCCCCCAAACACTTTTCCAGTCTTCTTTCATCTCTCACAGACTCTCTGATCCAGCAACACTAGTCTCTTTGTTGTTCCATGAATAAGACATTCCGTCTCTCAGCTCTAGGCATTTTCTCTGGCTGTTCCCCATACCTGGAATGCTCTCCCTACTCATCTCCCCTTCCTCGCTTATCTGGCTTCCTTCAGGTCTCAACTTAAATCCCTACTTCTCCAGGACGTCTTTCCCAACTGTCTCTTACTTCTAGTGCCTTCCCTCTGTTAATTATTTCCTATTTATCCTGTGTATAGTTTGCTTTGTATATATCTGTTTGCTTGTCCTTCACATTAGATTGTTAGCTTCTTCAGGACAGTGACTGTCTTTTTACCTCTTTTGTATCCCCAACTTAGTACAGTGCCTGGCATGTATTAGGTGATTAATAAATGCTTATTGATTGACTTGACCAACTGAAAAGACTGCAGTGAATATATAGGAAATTCATTGATCAACTTACATTTTTAAAAGGCATGTATAAAAGATGAAGCAATGGCAGGTAACAAAAGATAAATATAAAAATATAGCTTGGGCAGTTAGGTGTGATCGTAGATAGAGTGCTGGCTTGGAGTCAGGAAAATGAGTCTTCAAATCTGAGTTCAAATCTGGCCTCAGACACTAGCTGTGTGACCTGGGGCAGGTTGCTTAATCCTGCTTGCCTCGGTTTCCTCATCTGTAAAATGAACTGGAGAAGGAAATGGCAAACCATTCCAGTGTCTTTGCCAAGAAAACCTCAAATGGGGTCACGAAGAGTCAGACACTACTGAAAAACAACTGAATAAAAAAATAGTACAGTCCTCTGATAGTGTTAGAACAGTACTATTCAAATTACTTTATAGAGCCAACTAAATTACTCAAGACAAGAAATATCAGAGTATATAGCATCAGGGTAGGGGTTGGGAGGCATGTATCTATGGGATCTCAAGCTATACCACCAACAGTAATGAGCAAAGCTATCTGATACTAGATAAAAAAATAGTAAAGCAGACCAGTGGAATAGATTAGCTGAGCAGGACCCAGAAACAAATACACATAGCACTCTAGTTTACAGTAAATCCATGAACATAGATTACTGAGACAGAGACTTTTTATTCAACAAGAACTGCTGGGAAAACTGGAAAACAAGTTAATAAAAAATAAATTTAGATCAATGTCTTATACCAGTGGTATTAAACTCAAAAAGAAATGAGGGACACTAAACCATACATAAGGATCTCTGTGGGTTTGACTTAGAAAATTACATAATAATATTATCTGTAGTATATTTTATGTTTATTTTATTAAATATTCCAATTATATTTTAATCTGGTTCAGACTGCACCTGGGAGTGTAGTAGGTTGCATGGGGCTCATAGGCCACATCTTTGACATCGCTTTCTTATATCATAAACATATTAAGTGCCAAATGGTGGCACTATCCAAATATCATACCATATCAAACAATCATACCACAAAAAAATCTTGATTACATAATTTTAAATGAAATTTAATATTATTTTATAATTTATGCTTTAATAATAATATAATTTAATGAAACTTTATATAAAATTTTAAGTCATTGTAGCTATACATCATAAAAAATTTGAGATTAATGATAAATCTTTGCATTAAATGTCTTTGATAATAGGCTGATGACAGAAATCTCTAAGGAATTGACAAATAATAAGATAAAAGAGCCATCCCTTGATAGACATATAGTCAAAAGATTTGGTTTTCAAAAGAAGAAATATAAACTATTATATCCACATGAAAAAAGTTCAATATCAAGAATGATGATAATTTGGAACTTGAAATTTAAAAAAAAGAATAATGAGAAAAATTCAAATTAGAATAACCCTGAGCTAGCATCTCACATTCATTGAACTATCAAAAATATCAAAAGATGGGAACAGTTATTATTCAGAGAGTTTGTGGGAAGACAAGCATGCTAATTTTTTTGTTGACGGACCCATGCATTGAGTCAGCCATTCTGGAAAATAATTTGTAATTATGGGGGAAAAAAAGTTACTAAATTGTTCTTATACCCTGAGATTCTACTACTGGAACTACACCCTCAAGGAAATTATTGACAGCAAGAAAAGACCCAATATACAAAAGTGTGCATTAACAACATTATTCACGTTAATTAAAATATTAGAAAAATGTTTAAAAAGTTAAAAGTATATAACCAATAATTGAGGCATAGGTGAACAAATTATAGTAAATGAATGTAATAAAATATTGCATTAAGGAAATTACAGATATGAAGAATTCAGAGAAACTAATGAAATGATACACTACACTAATGAAATGATACTGTGTGAACAAGGCAGACAAAAGGACAATGTACACAAAGACTACAATATAATTTCACAGTAAGAAGCAAAAATATCTCTGGTCATTGTTGACACTATATTATTCAAATACATCCTTTTCTGTTAACAAACAATTGAACTTTTTAGAGGAGGTTCTTTGTAGGAGGTTTGGGTGTTTCTTGGGAAGTGTCACTGTCTAAACAAAATGTGTCTCTTTTCCCATTATTTATTTTTAAAGAATAGCATCAAGTGGGGCAGTTAGGTGGCACAGTGGATAGAGCACTGGCCCTAGAATCAGGAAGACCTGACTTCAAATCAGGCCTCAGACATTTATTAAAACCCCAGTTGCCTTTTCTCCAGTCCCTCCTTCCCTCTCCCTGCCAAAAAAAAAAAAAAAAAACCAGCATCAAATTTTGATTTAGCTGAGCCTCCTGAGGACTGCTAAGAACAAATAGAGTTTTAGAGATTTTTTTTTTCCAGGGAGAGGATAGCTATATTAGGAAAAAGAAGAGGATCAGAGATAGGGTAGGAATGTTGTTGAGGGTGAATGGCATGAAGATGACTGACAGTAGAGAATAAAAGGAGGAACCATTCAACTCATGTTTGGCATTTTTTCGTTTTATTTTTTTCCTACCAAGGAAAATTATTATTTAATTTGAAAGCACAGAAAAATAAGGGATTATAGGGGATTCAAATCCAAGACAAATGGGGAGATAGAGAATGCTTCAATGTCCTTGATGAGTTCAAGTTACCAGGCTCAGATTATGTACATACCACTGTCTTGAGAGAACCTGCAGATGGGATGATTAAGCCACTTTCATTATCATCAGGAATTTGGGAGATTCGCTATAGGACTAGAGATAAGCAAATGTCTTGGTTTAGAGAAAAGGGAAGAGAATAGAATCTGCAAACTGTAGGCCAAGGAAGTTGACTTAAATTCCTGGTAGAGTTATAGAATTTATTATTAAAATAATGGCTGATAAACATCTTTGAAAGGAAGATCACAAGGATTTAACATAGCTTCATCAAAAATAAGTCATACTGGACTAACTGCTAGTAACAGCATTATTAGATTGGTAGATAAGGGGAATACTGTCAATATACTTTTATCTAGATTTTAGCAAAGCATATGACAAAGTTTTTCATGTTATTCTTGTGTACAGGATCAGTAAGAAATAGGTTAAATAGTAGTGCATACAATTAGGTGGATTCAGAATTGGTTGAATGACTGGACTTAAAGACTAATCAGTAAAGGTTCAGTGCCAACTTTAGGTGTCCTAGGATCTATGCTTGGCCTTCTACTGTTTGATATATTCATCAGTGACTTCAATAAAGGCATAGATTGCAAGCTTATCAAATTTGCAGTTAAAAAAAAAAGCTAGGAGGGATAGCTAACCTGTTGGGTAGGGAAGTCAGGACCCTAAAAATTCTTAATGACCTAGAAAATTGGGACTCAATTGAGATGAAATTTAATACAGACAGTCATAAAAAATCAGTGTCAACTATAGAATGGGTAAGCTGTGACTGGATAACAATTTTTCTGAAAAAAAAAAAAAAAGATCTCGGGCTTTTAGTGGACTGCAAGCTCAGCATGAGTCAACAAAGCTGGTATAATCCCAAGTTACTTTAAGAAGAGTTATAGTATCTAGGACTAAGGAGATAATAAACCTATACTCTGCCCTGATCAGACCTCATTTGGCACACTGTGTCTGTGGTCTGTGCACTACATCCTGGGAAGGACATTGAGAGTTGGAGAACATCCACAGCAACGTATACAGGATTGTGAACATTTCAGGATCATCAGATATGGAAATTGATTGAAAAACTTGGTGATCTTTAGCCTGGAGAAAAAAAGTCTTGGGGACAGGGGAACATCATCACTGTCTTCAGGTCTTAGAA